TAGCATTTGGTCACCTGTAATCCCAGCACTTTGGGAGGCCAAAGCAGGTGGATTGCTTGAGGTCAGGAGTTCGAGACCAGCCTGGCTAACATGGTGAAACTCCCATCTCTACTAAAATATTTAAAAATTAGCCACGCATGGTGGTGCATGCCTATAATAATCCCAGCTACTTGGGAGGCTGAGGCAGGAGAATCACTTGAACCTGGGAGACAGAGGTCGCAGTGAGCCAAGATTGCGCCACTGCACTCCAGCCTGGGCGACAGAGCGAGACTGTCTCAAAAACAAAACAAAACAATAGCATTTGGAAGGCACTTGGGACATACATGCCTGGCGCATAACACGCTTAGTGTGTGCCTCCTGTGTTCTTACACTCACGTACAGAATTTCAGAGAGTCACAGAGAGAGCTTCAAGTCTCGCCTGCTCCCCCACCAGCCCAGGTCCTCTTCCCTAAAAGCACTCCCTCTTGGTGGGTTTTTTTCCTACATATACCAACGTATACATGCATGTCTTTTATTTTTGATTTATGCAAAACATGATTGAACTGATGTGGCTTCCCCTTTTCTCCGTATGAGCCCATGCATGCACCCACAGGGCAGATGGTGGGGGTCTGGTTATCAGTCTAAGGAAAGGTTTGCACGCACAGACCTGCAGACATCTCTCTGCTTGTTGGGTTTTGTTTTTTGGTTCTTTATCTGCTGTATACATATCTCAGAGCCTTTTCCATAGTGAGACATATAGATCAACCTCTTCTTAACCCATTTTTGCCTGAGGTTGCAGCTTTTAGAATTTCTGCAATCAGACCTTGGTGATGACCTTGAGCAGTAGAATATAAGCAACTCCCACAGCTTAGCGTTCCAGCAATGGAACACTAGGCATAAGTGGTTAATGGTTGCCTCTGCTGGTGGATGGTGGTTAGGCCAGTGCTGGCCTTGCAAATAGGCTGGATGACTGAGATTTATGTCCCTCGCCTTCTATTGAAGGGCACCTGGGATGTCAGCAGATTTTCGCTGTCACGAAGCGTGCTGCTGGGTGAGGTTTTTGGAGGCTTGTCGGTGGGATCCTGAGAGTATCGGTGAAAGGGGCAGGAGCTCCTGGTGTCGTCCCCAGAGCAGGCAGGATGCAGAGTAGATGGAGACCGGCTCTGCCAAACCTGTTCAGCATGGAGAGCCTCCTTGCGGCCACCCTCCAGCCGTGCCTCCCCGGAGGTCCTGGGTTATCACGGTGACTCATGAGGCATGAGGCGTGGGCCTCACAGGCTGGCCCTGTGTTTCGCTGACCTCTCCCCCGAGGTCTGTGAGCTTAGATTAGCCTGGAATCTTCTTATCAGCACAGCACAGCACTGGCATGAGGAGGCCAGCTCTGAGGGGGACAGGAGGCATCTTGGTGGCCCAGCTGCTGAGGGGCTGGTGGTGAGGTGGGCTGAGTGGGGAAGGAGAGCCCCTTGCCACCGTGTCACCCACGCCTCGGATTCTCTCCCTGGGGGGCTGGGGGTGGGGAGGGATGCTGCTCTGAGCCATGCGTTGCCAGGGCCCTGGTGAGCCCCGCTCAGCTCCCATCCCACCCTCAAGCCCATGAATGAGGATATTGGCGGTGCAGGGTGACCGGCTGCGTGCTAGAGGCAGGTAATCCGGAACGTTCCCCTCTTCTCATTCCTCCCAAACAGCCTCAACCACTTACATTCGGGTGGTGGTGGGGAGGGGAGGCCAGTGGACCGTCCCCCTGAGGAAGCTGTGTGGGGACCCGCACCACTCACTGTCCACCCTGTGCTTCCGTCCCCAGGAGCCTGATCAGGTGTACGAGGGGATCACCTTCGAGGACTTCCTGAAGGTGGGTGGCCTCGGCGTGGGGGCCTTGGGGGACCCTTGAAGACCTCGTGTGGTCCATGTCAGGAGGGGACATGGCTCTTTACCTGAAGTGGCAAGGGACAGGCTTCCTGGGTGACTGACATCTCAGTAGGAAGGGGTCAACTTGGGTGTGGCCTTTAAAGCAATTTAAACTGGTTTTTCTTATTTTTTATGGAAAAGGTAATATTCACACACTGTCAAAACAACGTAAGCAGTACAAAAGGGTATACAGTGTAAACCAAATTCTCTCTCACCTGGGGTCCCACTGCCCCTCTCAGAGGTAACCCCTGTTGTAGGTTGGGCCTGGTGGCTCACGCCTGTAGTCCCAGCAGTTTGGGAGGCTGAGGTGGGCAGAGCACCTGAGGTCAGGAGTTCAAGACTAGCCTGACCAACATGGTGTAACTCCATCTCTGCTAAAAATACAAAACTTAGCCAGGCGTGGTGGTGGGCGCCTGTAGTCCCAGCTAGTCAGGAGGCTGAGGCACGAGGATCGCTTGAAACCAGGAGGTGGAGGTTGCAGTGAGCTGAGATCGCGCCACTGTGCTCCAGCCTGGGTGATGGAGTGAGACCCCGTCTCAAAAAAAAAAAAAAAAAAAAAAAAAGCCCCATTGTAGTTGGAACAGGGATTCTGGGAACTTTCCGTGTCTGTGGAAATAGTGTTTCTCAGAAGCTCAGATTGGAGCCGACTGCACATGCTGTGCCTGGGCCTTCCTCGCTGTGTCCTAAGATGTCACTTTCGTAAAGCGGCCGCCCACTCTGCCTCCTCCCTGATGGCCTCTCCAGCCTCTGCTGGTGGGCGGTGGTTAGGCCAGTGCTGGCCTCGCAAGTCAAGAGCTGCTTCTGGCCGTTTAGATAATCAGATGCCCTGTGGCAGGGAGGGGACCCCTGCCCCATCCCCCTCCCCGCACTTGGGCCCTGGGCATCACAACAGTGTTCCCAATGCTTTTGAGGGGCTTCAGGAAGACAAGGAAGTCAGGGGAGCAGGAGACCAAGAGGGAGAGAGGATTAGGGAAGGAAGGATCACGGCTTCTGGCCAAGGAGCCCAGAGCAGGACTGGGGGACTGGGCCCTCAGGATCACAGCGCCATGGAGCCAAGGCTGAGCCTGGCAGCCAATGGTTAGACCTGGCAGGAGAGAGGAGAGGCAGGCAACAGGGCCCGGCTGTGATAAAAGGCTGAAAGGAGACTGCGGAGGTCGGCAGGCCCCCAGGACTGCCGTGCACATGGCCCCCCGCCCGGGGCTGGCAGGGCGGACAGACTGGCAAAAGGCAGAATTTGCACTTGTGCTGCAGACTCACTCTGGCTTCTGCTGGGGACCCGGTCACCTGAGCAGGTGATGCCCGCCAGAGCAAGACAACAGGACGAAGAGCTAAAAGGTGGAGGAGGGAGGGAGGGTTGGGGAGGAAGTACAACGGCTTCAGACTGAGTAGAATGAATTTCTTTGCCTCTGAAACCAACTTCCTTGCCCTAAAGGCTGGCCTCTGCCAGGCCCCTAGTGCCCCCCAGCCTGTCCCTGTATCCCTGAGGGGTCTTTTGGGACCAGCTGGCCCTTCCCATTCCCTGGTTCCTTCCATTGCCCTTGCCGACCATGTTGCCACCTGGCACTTAGCAGAAACCACTGTGAGTGGTCGTGTGTGTTACCCTGGGAACGCCTCGTGCACCCAGCAAGGATAGGGCTGCTCAACTGGAACCAGAGCTGTCTGCACACCCCATGACACCCAGAACAGCCTCAGGAAAGCAGGAAGTACCGGGGGGCTGCGGCCAGAAATGTCCCAAGGCCTCCCTGTCCCCTGCGTGCCTACGGGGCTCTGACTTTCCCCCGTTACCAGCCTCGTGGCTGTCCCCGGAGATGCTGAGAGTGACAGAGTTTGAAGTTCTTACATAAGCGGGAGGCAGTGAGAAGTCACCCCGCCCACCACATCCCTCCATTCCTGTTCGCACCCCCCATCCTACCATCTGTGGCCCCCGTGGGACCTGACTTGCTAAGGCGCTGGCGGGCATGGCCTTGGGAGCACTGGGGTACATACATAGCCTTGTAGTGTGAAGGTCTGCTCCAGGGCCCTGGCCAGGCTGGACTGTAGTGACAGTACCAGCACCAGGAATGGGGCCACGATGCGATCTTTGGGTAGAAATGACCTTTTTGGGCTTGAGTTTGTCTTTCTAGAATGCACGTGGTCCCTTATCCCAGGGAGGTTGTAAAGACCACACTGGAGATCCTTAAATTGATGATGGTGGCCTAGCGAAGCCTTGTGACTGCACAGCCCCTAACAGTTTACAAAACACGTCCATGATGAGGATGGGTCCCTTAGAGCCCCCGACATTCTGTGAAGTGGGCGGCACAGGTTGGGGGTCCCGCATTGTCATGGAAAGGGGACTTAATGGGGTTATATAATTTGCATGAAAATCACAGAACCTGAAGTGGTGGGTGAGACTCAAATGACTTGGAGCTCAGAGCTTGGATTCAGTACTTAATAATAACTTGCTGTGACAATCTCAGAGAGAATCCAAATGTCAGAGCCAAATTAACCAGCAAAAAAGACAGATGGAAGTTTTTCATCCTCGCTTAGCTCCTAGCCTTGAAACACAGCCCTCGGGTTTTCACCTGCCCGGAACATCACCGTTGGTGGCAGGAGAGGGTAGGTGGGGAAGGACCGAGGACCGGGGCCTGGTCAGGTGTGAGGTGGTGGTGGGAATGTGCCCTTAACGCTGGTCCATACCTTCCAGATCTGGCAGGGGATTGACATTGAGACCAAGATGCACGTCCGCTTCCTTAACATGGAAACCATGGCCCTCTGCCACTGACCCGCCGCCACCTTCGCAGAGAAACCGCACTTTGCAATGGGGCCGCCTCCCCGCGTAGCTGGAGCAGCCCAGGCCCGGCGGACAGCCTCATCCTGCAGCACCGGGACACAGCCAAGGCTCGTCCGCACACGTTGTGTCTTGTAGGGTATGGTATGTGGGACTTTGCTGTTTTTATCTCCAATAAAAAAAAAAAAAAAAAGGTTTGTAATTAACGTGGCCTCTGTCAGTTCCTCACATCCATTAAAGTGGCCTGGTCACTTGGTAGCATGAGACTGACTATGAGGAATAAGCAACGACAAAATTATTTTATTTTATTTATTTTGGAGACGGGGCCTCCGCCTGTCACCTAGGCTGGAGTGCAGGCGGGATCGCGGCTCGTTGCAGCTCTGACCTCCTGGGCTCGAGCAGTCTTCCTGCCTCAGGCTTCCGAGGAGCTGCGGCTACAGGCGCGCACCACCACGCCCGGCTAGTTTTTACATTTTTTGTAACGACAGGGTCTTCGTATGTTGCCCAGGCTGGTCTCTTACGACTGGGCTCAAGCGATCCTCCCGCCTCTGTTTCCCCAAGTGCTAGGATTACAGGCGTGAGCCACCACACCCAGCCTAAATAATATTGAAATTGGTTTGGCAGAAGGATTGTTCTCTCTTGTTTATTTTGGGTAAAGTATCTGCTGTTCTTCCTATGTAAGTCCTGGGAACCCCTCCGCCTTCTCCATCCTAGGGAGTAAAATAAGGAGAAGCAGCTCCTGCCCTGTGTGGGCTTCTGAGGTGGCCAGGACTCAGGCGGTGGGGCGGCCTCACCGTCACAGCCACATCTGTTTACTGATGAAGAAAACATCTGGAGCCCTGGGCCTGGGCCTGCTGCGGGGATGCACCTGAGCCCGCTGTGTTGGTCAGTGGGCGTGGGGAGTCAGGGCCTGGCTGGCTGACCCGGGACCCCCAGCTCCTCACGGTGGTGGTAAGGGGGTGTGGTCTGCCAGCCACGGCTGTGCCCCTGGCTCTTTCTGGCAGTCCTGGGCCAGTTGCAGGGCCCTGCAGCGCTCCAGGAAGCAGCAGCAGTGGAAGCTGGGTAGGTAAGGATCCCTGACAACTTCAGTTATCACCTTTCGACGTGGGGACTGGCTAGAGCTGGGGGCAGGGAAACAAAGGTTGTTGGTCGCGGTGGCCTGGAGTCAGCAGAGGACTGCACCTGTGGGACGTGGAGAGCTGTGTCCTGGAGGCGCTGGGACAGCCCACTGAGTGTGACTTCCCCATCTCCCTGTGTGGGCTGTCAGCTCATGAATGTGGCATTGAGGACCCTGGGTGACGCGTTCCCATTGCTGTGCAAGGTGGGCCAGCCTTTGCTTTCCAGGCCTCTTTCTGGTGCTGAAGTTCACGAAACGCCCGGTTCCTTTATTGACCCTCCCTGGGTGGTGTCATTCTAGCCTTCCAAGAGAGTTCTCTTGATAACTGGCAATGGGTATTATTTGCATTCTTGGCGTTTTCATTCATAGTTTTCATATGAAGTGTGCTTTATCTTTACTACAAGCCCACACCTTGCAGTTCAGAATTTAAAAGGTTTGAAAAGGCAGGCCATGGAGTCAGCCCCCCACCCCCAC